CATAGCAGAAGCGTAGAATCGTGGCAGCCATGAAAAGCCGAGATGAAAATGGAGCAACCACTGTGTTTATTGTTTATTGCTGAGGGATGGCATTCGCGAAATGTAAATCATTTCACATTGGAATGGCTCACGTCTTGCCAAATATCTATAAAAACGTTTGAAGCTATGCGAAATGCTGGCAACCCTCTCCAAAGGAAAATTGAGAGGGCATACGCTTCTGGGGGTGCATCCACTTTGGCGGCGCTTTGATTTCATGCGTTTAGACCTCCTTCAGCTTCTTCCGCAATATCAGGGTTTGAAGCTTATCTTCACGTGTAATAACTAGTAAAGAACGTGGCTTTACGCTGCTCTTTTACAAGGCAAAACAGCTGAAACAGATGCAGAAAGATAGGTTTCTGCGTGTGTCTTATAGTGGTTGCCCTCTGCGCAGAAGTATAGAGCAAGGCAGGCTGTTTTAGAGCTCTTTCTTGTGCCCTGGTGAGGCTGTTCGGCACACACCGTCTCATACCACCGTCTGCATACCACCGAGGAAGCAATGACCTTGTCGAGCCTTTTCATGGAATAATGAAGGTGTCACCGACTGCCCAGCTCTTTGGGCAGCGGCGCTGCCCAAGGTGACAAAGAATGCCACTAATCTTACTTGAGCTTCGAAAAACTTTCGAGGGAGGGGGGGGGGGAGGGGGCACGCTACGGTTCACCAACCATAGCCATATTTAAGTCAAGCAACACAGACGCGCTATGCGCCATAATTTTTAGGCTCTGAGGAAGTTACTCTGTTGGCTGCATCGCAGCACTAAGAAAGGCTACATTTCCGGCTCCAACAGCTTCCACTCCATGTTCCTCACGTACAACTTGTATTTACCTTCGGTTCCCTCACGCCCGCGCCCATCTACCTGTGACCCGAGCATACGAAGCCATGGTTGACTCCGTCCTACGAGAGCCCCTTCCAAGGGCTTTAGTGTTCAGAGAACTGAAAAAAAAAAGCAGAGGCTCTGTTCTCCACGGGGTGGAACCAGAGTATCTTTCACATTATTCTTTGCGTTACTATCTTCATTGATCTCTGAGTGTCCAGCATACTTGAGGCCCAGTGCTTCTGACGACATTAAAGACTTCTAATTCTTGTTTACAAAAATAGGCACCTACTGATAGAGCTTTGTCCTTTAGCAATTTACGAAAAATTCTTCCCGTGTAGTAAAGAGCCCTCGCCCCTCGCATTAAGGTCATTATTCCTTGCTCTTTCTCGGCACCGAGGTTCCTACATTGACAATAAGCTGCTTATACGATCATTAAGCAGACGTGTTCGCCCTTTCGAACAAGTGCCAGGCTACTGTTCGTTCTCAAATTGTCAACGCGTGTACAACTTTCCGCTGCTAAACCAAGCTTCGAACAACCTGGTGTGTACATGAATGAACCTGCGTGTTGTCCAATAGTCTATACTTAATTTATTAAGTAGGGCTTAACATCCCATAATCAGCATATGATTATTAGAGACGCCTCAGCGGAGGGCTCCGAAAATTTCGACCACACGAGGTTCTTTAACGTGTACCCAGATATGAGCACCCGGGCCTACAACATTTTCGGCTCCATCAAAAATGTAACCGCCGCAGCCGGAACTTGATGCCGTGACCTGTGGGTCAAAATAGCCTATACAGAATAATAGGAACACGTGATGTGTGTAAACAAACATAAAAGTGGTACACTTGTTTTGTTAGGTGAATTGAAAAATTCACCTGACAACTCACATTTTTGCTATTACTGGCAAGTTTTTTTGTGTTTGCTCTCTCCTATTCAATAAATGATATTTTATTGCCCATCGCACTTGCACTAGCCTAATATAATTCTATGGCTATGATCAAAGAGCCATTTGTAGGAAAGAAGGAGAGGAGCCTTTTCCAACGGAACCGGTTATAGTGAACAACAAGGGTAATACACACGTAGAGTAAAAATGGGCTTAAAGAAGCATAAATATTGAAAACACTTTCTTACAACTGAACGAAAACCTTGTTTTTTTTTTTTCATATCATTACAGTGAACCTTGTGCGTAACGTTGATGCAAGCGAAGAAGTTTAAATTTCTGAAAAATATGATGCGGATGATGAAGTTAAAATGGAAGCACTGCGTTGTTTCTCGACATTAAATCAAGATAACTGTAATACGTAGAGCATGCATTATTGCACAGCTCGGTAGAGCGTTAGCAGCGCCTGTAAACAGCTCCTGACTTTTTGAATGTGCAAACGAAGCCTAAAACCGATATTCGAGCCTGTTGTCAGGGGGAGCGGGATATTACAGGAAAGATCAGATGGCGCACTTGCCGAATATACACGCACCTGTTCTCGAGGAGAACACATGTGGTCTCTATTCGGGCTTACTTGCCGTACTTCAAACACGCTGCGCATAGCCTTCTACGCGAACGTGAAAGTCGTTATCTCGTTGGAAAAGCCGCTTTCAGACTAAATATTGACACGCGCACAATATTCTTCCATTTTTGCCGGTTATCGCCGGATACCCGATAACATATGTTATCGCTCCGCAAGAGCCTTTCCGGAGTGTATCGGTGCCTTCTCGAATGTTATCGAGAGTTCTGACCCGTGTCAAAGGATTGATGTTGTGCAATTTCGAACGCGTGCGGTAATTGGGGAGCGCGCTGGAAGATACCGCCACTCGCGTGTATATTGCGAATGCGCTAGTGGTGAAGTTCCCATTTTCGACGGCAGACGCTGGCGCCGGCCGCTATTCTTTCACTGTGAGTGTTGTTTGCTCTGCTAGGCATGGGTGCTCTTATTGAGGAGTGTGATGACTGCAACAATTTGGATATCGTACTTTTCGTCGTCTCAGCCTCTGAGACGAGAAAAAATTTTCTTCTGATAATGCCTGTGGCGTAGGCGGACAAACCATGGTATAAAGACAAGTTATATAATTCCTACCCACGTTGGATCAAGATAACTGTCTTAATGTTGCAAATAATTCGCAATATTGGGTTTAAATTGAGTGAGAACCTAAATGCAGAGATTGCATGGAGTGATATTTATTCTAAAATGGGGAGGCTGTGTGCCGAAATTTGTGTGATTTGTCAGCTCTCCTAACCCTCCCCCCCCCTTCCCTGATCAGGCTGCCTTATCTTCGCAGTGTTCACATAACAGCTTCGTATTCGAAACCTTCACCAGCACTGCAGAATAATTGGTGCATTGCAAGGCATCTATGGCCATTCACACTTCATGCAATCCCCAACAGTGCTATAATATTTGATTGCGATCTGCAGGGTTGTGCACCCTGCCATGCTCACGCGTCCCTGCCGCAACGTTCGCTGGTGCATATTATGCAAGAAAGTACGGTGTGTAGGCAGAATAAGTGAAGAAATTGTGGACCAAAACATCTATAGAGACCACGAAATGTAAGACTTTCGCGACAGCTTAGGTCATCGTAGCGACTTTGTAGGGCATTCCCGTATGCATGCTTTTTCCTATGGCCATCCGAAATTTGGAATGCCTCCATCTCCGTAACACCACGACACTCTCTAAGCAGCTTTAAGTACCAGCACCTAAAGGTACAGGGGGCTTGCCTCCACTGCATGACGTCATCCGCCACGCCTCAACTCGGCATGACGGCGACAAAAGTTTTATTGGAAATGCTTGTATATAGTAGATACGATTGCTCACATATATTACTAGTCCGAATAAATGATCTGCGACTCGTGCAGAGACTATTACATAGCGTTTTCTTGTCGTGTCTGCGCGATAAAATTGCGCGAGTTTTACGTGTCGTCTTAGCCACTATTGTTGTCATCCTTATCGAGATTTAGCTTATTTTTCGCCCATATGAGTGCGTCAGTTTGACGGGATCCAGTTTCGTGCGAACGAAACACGATGATGGAAAGGAAGTACACCAACCAAATAAAATAATCAAAGAAATGACGTTCCGGCTACGAGACAAACAGCCAATCGAAATGACGGAAACCTTCGCTCATCCTATGCGCGGTGCATGCATCGCGCTGAAACCTGTCTCACAGCAATGATAAAATCAGAAGAACAATCATTGTAGCTTGCTATATGATGTCTGGGAAGTCCGGCGCATGTGTTAGAGCACCTTCGATAGCCCTTTCGGATAGACAAGTGCCCCACCGCGGTGGTCTTTTGGCTAAGGTACTCGGCTGCTGACCCGCAGGTCGCGGGTTCGAATCCCTGCTGTGGCGGCTGCATTTCCGATGGAGGCGTAAATGTTGTAGGTCCTTGTGCTCAGATTTGGGTGCAGGTTAAAGAACCCCAGGTCGTCGAAATTTACGGAGCCCTTCACTACGGCGTCTCTCATAATCATCGCGTGGTTTTGGGACGTTAAATCCCACAAATCAATCAAATCGGATAGACAAGTGGCATGTTTACAAAAACAAATAAAGTGAAAAAAAAATTTAATAAAAGCACATGTATTACAGCAAAGATAGCACCCCGATAGGATTATGCGTTGGCGGCTTGCAGTGCCCACCCCCTTGTATGTTACTCCAACTTTTCTTGCTATTTATTGTAACAAACTTCAGTTGTTAGAACGCTTTTCTTGTGCCAGTCCAGTTTTTCGTCCTCCACTTTGCAGCGCAACGTTTTCCTGCAGAAACCAATATATAGTTTATTTGCAGAAACCATTATAATGAACCCATATGTTTATTTTTTAAAAATATCTAGACATTCTCAGCATCCTCATCTCTATATTTAGCATATGATTCACTGGCATTAGGTTTACGTAAGAAGCGTTCATTGATGCACCGAAAAGCCATGACCTGTCCGTCCTGGGTCGCGTTGCGACATCCTACAGGAGAACGTACCGTGGGCTCGGATATCACAGCTGTACAATCGGGGTGAACAGTTTTACCGAATGCGCTTTCCTGTCACTCATGACACGCCTTCATGAATCCATAATTGCTTCGCTAATTCACCTGCTACAACTGCAGCTGTTAAAACGGTCGGCCGCTTTCGTGAAGCTAACATATCATACAACGAAAAGGAGTGGAATATGTCTCTGTTTCCAGAGAGGCAGTGGAGGCTGCAACGTGCCGCTTTGGTGTTCGAGTCAAACGCGACGCGGTTGCTGGGAAGCTCTCTGCCGCTTTAGTTGCTTGGAATCGATAAAATTGATAACGCTCACCGTCCGGGTGCAACAAGGTAGGTAGGCTTTGCTTAGCGGTCGTAGATAGCTATGATAAACTATTGTCTGGCCTACTCTGTAAACAATAGTAGAGGTATCTTGATGTCAACTCATACACCCAATTCTGTGTCAGGTGACTGCGCGCTCAGAATATGTAGTGGTTTCAAGGGCAGAATCAGCTTTCTAAATAAAAAGTATTTATACTTTGTAGAGAGATTTTAAATATATTTGAGCACTCAAAGCTACTGATTGTTGGTGTCTCATTCCGAATTTGAGTGATGACACCGATAGTCTGTCATGGTGGTGTAGCAGTTGTGCTGCTGGGCTGCTCGTCTTAAGGTAGCGTTTTCGATCGCGGCCACACTGGTTACATTACGATGGAGCTTAAATGCTTGAAGCCAGTGCACTATACGATGGCAGTGCACGTTCATCAACAGCAGTTGGTTGAAATTTTTTGAGCCTTGAAGGGTTAATGATAATAATAATAATAGTAATAATAATAATAATAATAATAATAATAATAATAATAATAATAATAATAATAATAATATTAATATAATAATAATAATATAATAATAATAATAATAATAATAATATTAATAATAATAATAATAATAATAATAATAATAATAACACCCCAAACCCCCGATATCAATACGAGACACGCCGCAGTTGAGGAGTCCAGAAATTTCAACCACCTTCAACTACGGTGTGGCTCACATATTGGTTTTGAAACAGCAAACCTCAGATGGTAATGTGATTGATAACGCCTATCCCAAGACGTTCCGCCTATTCTCTGAAATACTAGCGAACGAAGGTAATGGTAATGCTTTTTCATATTTTGCAAATGCTCATGAACGACTTGCATATTTCTGGACGTGTACGTTATACTGCGATCTTTGCCAAATCTCACGCGTAGAACTTGTTAGAATAAACACAGTATTGATGGACAGATTATAGTCCGCTATTCTACAGTATACTGATGGCATGTCGGCGGCTGGGGTTACATAGCCACACTTTTCGTTCCCATTGCTTATGTATAGAAAGCTTTGTGAATCTATGCTATATATATAGCAGTAAAATGAAATAGTACTCATTTGATGCATACATGAAGGTAACCAAAATAGCAACCACAGAACAAATAAGTCTACGGCATGTGGCTTAGTTTTTGGTTTGTAACATCTGCTTGACATTCTTTGTGACTGCAAAGCGTTCTTATTTTCATGTCGCAGTTAGCTCACTCTCAATGCGTTGGAAGTGTAAACATTCAACCTTTCATTCTCAGAACTTCACTCTGAGCGAGATGATGCGCTGTTGTGCTTTATCAAAATGGTTAAAATCCGGGCCATGGGAAGAGCATTAGTGAGGTAAAGCGCATGACCCACTGTATGCATAACTCGTACCAAATGGCTATACTTGTGCGAGAACCCGCCTGAACGCTGCGTGTGATCACTCCCTCTCTGCTCTCCGTCTTTCATCTCCCCCATCCCCCTCCCATGCGTAGGGTAGGGAACCGGCTGCCTATAGGCTGGATAACCTCCCTGCCATTCTTTTCCTCCTCTTTTCCTTCCTTTTTTGGTCCAATGTGAAAGTTGACTCTGAGTGAAGAAAACTCTAGCGAAGAAAACGTATTGCCAAATATTTTCAAGTTTCCGCAAATGCAAACAAACCACTTGCCTATTTTCTGACATGCATACGTTTCACTGCCAAGATTCACAAATCTCACGCTTAGAACTTGATTTCGTTTTTTTAACACTACATAGTGTAGTTAGTGTGGGAACGCACAATCAATGCTCCATAAGCAAAAATATGCGAGAAACCTCTGCGAGCTGACACAAAGAGAATACTACGTTCTTTTTTGTTTCACGTATGAATGATAACACTGAGCCAACTCTGCATGATATGTCAGAACATAGTTTTGGAGTTGACACCACGCAGAAATGTTAAAATCCGTCACCTGCCTCATAAACAAAAACAATTGTCTCTGTGAAGATTTCACTGTAATCACTTCCGCGTGAAATAAACGTGCTCGAATGGAAACCTTCTGATAAAAAAACAATACCGTGTATCTGACACGTTTATAATCGAGCACTTGTTGGAAGTTATTGTGGCCTAAAACACAAAATATCAAATGGTTTAGGAGTTCTTTAACTGGAGATGTGTAAATTGATTGATTTGTGGGGTTTAACGTCCCAAAACCACCATATGATTATGAAAGACGCCGTAGTGGAGGGCTCCGGAAATTTCGACCACCTGGGGTTCTTTAACGTGCGCCCAAATCTGAGCACACGGGCCTACAACATTTCCGCCTCCATCGGAAATGCAGCCGCCGCAGCCGGGAATCGAACCCGCGACCGGCGGATCAGCAGCCGAGTACCTCCGCCACTAGACCACCGCGGCGGGGCTTGAGATGTGTAAATAATAAATGTAACACTTTTCCGGCGAAAACCGGAGCTACGCTGCAATGGCAAGCTGAATAAAATTAATGAGGCAAGTAAAAATCAATATCATCAGAGTAGAAGCACGTATGAGAGTTTGAATCGGGTTACTCATTTTGTGTTTGCATTATTTATAGGTCCGCAAAATTTATTTACTTGGTCTGCCTACGCGGACACACAAGGACACATGAAATAGAAAGAGAGCAAGCTTGATTGATATGTGGGGTTTAACGTCCCAAAACCACTATATGATTATGAGAGACGCCGTAGTGGAGGGCTCCGGAAATTTCAACCACCTGGGGTTCTTTAACGTGCACCCAAATCTGAGCACACGGGCCTACAACATTTCCGCCTCCATCGGAAATGCAGCCGCCGCAGCCGGGATTCGAACCCGCGACCGGCGGATCAGCAGCCGAGTACCTCCGCCACTAGACCACCGCGGCGGGGCTTGAGATGTGTAAATAATAAATGTAACACTTTTCCGGCGAAAACCGGAGCTACGCTGCAATGGCAAGCTGAATAAAATTAATGAGGCAAGTAAAAATCAATATCATCAGAGTAGAAGCACGTATGAGAGTTTGAATCGGGTTACTCATTTTGTGTTTCCATTATTTATAGGTCCGCAAAATTTATTTACTTGGTCTGCCTACGCGGACACACAAGGACACATGAAATAGAAAGAGAGCAAGCTTGATTGATATGTGGGGTTTAACGTCCCAAAACCACTATATGATTATGAGAGACGCCGTAGTGGAGGGCTCCGGAAATTTTGACCACCTGGGGTTCTTTAACGTGCACCCAAATCTGAGCACACGGGCCTACAACATTTCCGCCTCCATTGGAAATGCAGCCACCGCAGCCGGGATTCGAACCCGTGCCCTGCGGGTTAGCAGCCGAGTACCTTAGCCACTAGACCACCGCGGCGGGGTCAAGAGAGCAAGCTCGGCCACTGACAGAGCACCACGTCTATTTACTCAGGAGGAACAGAAAAAGACATGCAAACGCGAATGCCCAGTATTCAGAAAAATACTCTTGAGAAAAAAGAAAGTCTTATGTATGGTGGTCTAAAAAACACGTGATCTGCGGCTTCATACGGAATGAAGTCTTGTGAGATTGCTAAATAATACCGACATTACTATACTCACATTAGCTGGAGAGACGAAAGTTGTCTGAAGGATTTCATTTCGTGAGGGTCCCCCACGAACTTACCACGAGTTCAAACATCGCCATGGAACGGAAGCTTGATATTAACTGTCGGTGTCCAGGTTTTTAGTCATCGTCGATATCAGTATAAATATGTTTATTGCTTAAGCTGACAAACATACTTTTACTGATCACAACAACATCCACGTGTGCCGTAGTTGCCTGCCACCGCCATGCACTGGTTTTCGTAACCGCCATCATGCCAAATAAGAAAGAATACTAACTAAAGGACAAACATCACTGACACAACAAGAATCTAACCCGGGTCCCCTGCGTGCCGTTGAAGCATTCCAGCACTGAGCCACACCGATGCTGGAAACTTCGTTGCAAAGAGACCATAGGAATGCATGTTTCATATCGGGAAATTGTTCACGTTGAGGCGAGCAATAAAGCGTTTCAGAAATTTAAAAAAGGCGTCACAAAATGTGAATTGCGCCACGAGTGCTTTGTCGAATGCACGAACCCATTACGAAATACTTAAACACAGTTATTCCGCGTTGTGAGCAACAGATTTTAAAAAATCACAATTCTTTTTTTTGCAAGTGTGGATACCACGCTTCTCCGAAGAATGGGATGACATAGTGAACGCCTCCTTACAACACAAAAACTATAATTTATGGATTAGTGGGTGCCTTGCAAGTGTGCTTGCAGTGACGCAAGTGTGTTCTAAGAGGCTATAAAAGCACTCTTCTATCTTTCACTGCGACTTGGCTGCACGTTTCGTGCAGGCCTGGTGTCTTTTTTTTAAAACCTGGAGTCCAAATACCTACATAAACATGTGACAAAGAAAAAGCATTCTTTGAAAACAATATGTTAGGTGGCATATTGTTCAACCCCCCCCCCCCCGTCTTTGTCTTTTTCACTGTTCCGGGTCCTATGCCAACTCACTTTCGCGACTTTGGCCCGCTAGGTGAAGGCTGTTTCCGACCAATGGCCTTGATGAGTATGCACTAAAGAACAACGGTACATGTTAGAGCACAGTTTCAGCATGCCATTATAATAGCAACAAAATGAAATGTTTGCGAGACAATAAATATAACTATGTAAACGTTCTAGCTTTCGCATGTCTTTACGTCGTGCGTCGGCAAGGTGGCTGAGCACGTCGTTCTCAATAGGGTTGGTCGATACCTGGATGATAACGACTGCCTGCCGCACCACCTGATTGGCTTCCCACCAGGTTTATCTACTCAAGACGCCATGTTACTCGTAAAGAATCAATTTCTAGATCGCGAAAACACTCGGGACATTCACGCGATACTCGGTCTCGATTTAGAAAAGCCATTTGATACCACAACGCACTCTTTTTTTATTGCGACAAATACTTGCGTTTAAGGCATAATATTTTTGTCGGTGTTGTGTATGAAGTAGAGTAGTGT